ATATCCCTTATAGAACAAATTAAAATAATATTAATAATCATTACTTTTTAACCACACGCTTTCAAACAGAACACTATTAAAAACATAGTTTTTTACAAGACGAGCACCAACTGGGGCTAAGTTAACATGCTAAGCTCCTGTTTGGTAAAAATTAAAATCTAATTTTAATCACATATTTTATAGACTCCACAATTCGATTAATTACTTTACCATATCGATGGCAATAGTACAGTTTAGAACACGCTAAATTAGATAAATCAACTGAAAGGAAGGAATTGTAGTCATGCATGCTAGACTGTACAGTGATGATATAGCAACTGTCCTTACTTTTCCCCAAGATATTTTCCTGATGCCACGTGTTCTACATTCTTGGAAAATTACCAAGGGCATCTCCATTGAAGATCCCAAAACACTATTTTACACCATAAATCATAAATGTCCCCAATGTTGTACCATAATTTGGATATTAGACCATCTCAAAATTTGTATTATTTTACGCCAAATTTTGGACTAAATTGAAAATCATCTCCAACATATTATATCAGAAGTTGCACCAAATGAACAGTGTTCACTCATTTTCTTCATTTTTTTATTCTTAACAACTGAAAAATTATTTATTTAATTTACTGCTACATAAATTACTACATACATAATTATGTTTTGTTTACAAAAATATTATATTATTTAATAAATTTTAAAAATGTAGTACAATTAATAAAAATACCCCCACGAAGAAAATGTTAAATCGTGTTATTAAAAATAACGTAGTGCATTTCGAACCCCGAAATTATGATAAGAAAAAGTCGACCTAGTGTCGTAATTTAATTATTGAAATTCATAAATTAATCCCACAAATGATCAATTAATGCATTTCCAAGTGCAATGTGAGCATCTTTATCCTTGATTTGTCTATGACGAGCAAACAATTCTTGAAAACGTTGATTTTTGTCTTCAACCAACTCAACTTCTAGAGGAGGCGCTTCCATCCAATCTTGAACTGCTGTTGTAGTTTCGTTTTAATTTTAAATAATCTTGTTTGTTGCATTTTAAAACTTTTT